GTGAAAACATCTCCTCCGTCTGAACTTCAACGCCAACTGCCATGACGCAGTCATCTCCTGCGCACACAGCACCTTGGCAAAATATGGGACGTTTTGTTTTAGATCCGCCCATGCTAGTGTGTGAAGATCTGATTTCTAACCGTTCAGAACCCCCTTCTTGCGTGTTTTTGTTGAAAACGGAAAACTTGCATGTTACGGAGTGATCCAGCTAAAACAAAATGTTATTAAAACAAACAGGGTCACCAGTGGCCAGTCTGCGCAAAGAATTGCAAAGTGACGCCTGAGTTTTTACTCGCCTCTTGCGAGCAAGTATACATCAGCGGGCTGTTCGTGTGCCACAATGAGTATGAACACGAATATCACACGCACAGGCACACACACAGACATGCATACATCCATGCATTGCATTGCATTTATATGTACAGTATATTTTAATGTTCATACTACACACACACATAATATATATATATCGTACATAATAATGCTATATACCGCAATAATTACATCTATGATATGTGCATGACTTTTTGGGCAAACCAAATAGTTGATTAAATCCTTGCCTGGGTGCGAACAGCTTCAGCACAGGCCAAACCTCCGGAAGCGCAAGCTGCCTGTTTCAAACAGCCAAAACTGTGAAGCTGTGCTCACATGTTGAACATTGAAACGATGGAAAGCACCTTCACAATTAGCAAACAAAGGAAACAACAATAAATAACAACACGTGCCGTTAATGCGCGTTTTACGGGGACTTGGCCCCACTGAACACACAACTACGTATACGGGGGCATGTCTTTGACCAGCTTCCCAAACCACTACCTAACGAACGATATATAGTCAAGCGTAATCACAACTCCTTACCCAACAACTAATCCCGGTTTCTCAAATCTCAAACATTCGGCCACACCATTCCTAGCGTGCCGCAACAACAGAAAATACGAGGTAAAAGCCTCAAGCAACGAGCTTTCCAGATTCCAAAAAGGGGTACAGTAGCAAGTACTGCTGCCAAATTCGCTTATGATTTGGCGCACCCACAAGGTTTTTCGTGTTTTTTCTGTCAAACTCAGTCTCTGCATGTCTCTGCATACTGTACCCGTGCTTTGAAGGTTTTTGATGAGTTTTGCTCCTATTTGCCACGGCATGCCTCTGAATTCTCTGAGCCCTGGGCTCCATCTGCATTGATTTTATTCATGGTATGATGAACTATCTGATGAACGTTGATTTTGACAGCGTGTCATGCAAACCATACAGGTACGAGTTGGTATCACAGAAAGACGACTGTCTAGAGTGATGAAAATTTGGCGGCAGCGTTCTTTTTTATCTATTTTGCACCTGTGATTCTGTTGCGATGTCACTTTTTTGCATCTATGTTTCCCATCTATGTTTCCCAGTGATTCCAATTGTGATTCCTTTTGTGTTATATTTTTCTGTTCTGTCCATTTTCATTCCATTTCCATCGTCCAAATGAAGGGCTGGAAACATACGCAGGTCCTGCTCCAAATGTTCTAACTGTCGGAAAAAAACGAAGCGAGGAACTTGTGCCAACAAAAATAATAAAGGCCAAACTGGTTCCAAACTGGTTCCATCCTTGCTCTTTGGTTCTCAACATTCCTCACAGTTCAGATTTCCAATGATTTCCAGCTATTTGATGCTATATGACTATATGTCATTGGAAACTATGGTGCTTGCAAATTCATCAGACCCCAGGATCCCAGGATATCCGCCCTCACGTAACAGGACATCTGACGCCTCAGAAAAAATTGAGACACGATGACCTTTTTGGGCGAAACATTTCGGCTCTGCATATTTTAGTCTTGGAACAAATCGGTCTCACATGAAATAGGGATAGCTGATGATAGCCGATAGCTATCGATAGCTAACAAATATACCAATCTTTCGTGGGAGTTTCTAGATTCTAGATGGTTATACCTCTTGGGAGGTTCACTCCTGGAAAAAACATGCGAAACCAAACTTATTTCCTAGGTTCCAACCTACCAACATAGAAAAAACAATGATCTTAAATCTTGAAGATGTTAGCTCTAATAAATCCCCGTTCAGATTGGACCCGAGGGGTTGGGAGCCCCATTTTGTAGCTACAGAACGGCGTCCCCAAGGTGCCCTTCTTACAAGTTGGCAGAACCCAACATTCACCGAGGAAGGTTTTTGTTACAAAATGGCAGTCCAAGCTGACCTCTAGTTACAAAATGAGTCACCGATTTTGCTCGACTCGCATCCGCTGGCTCGATTTGCCCTTTACAGAATGGTGGGGACTGGCGGTGGCTATACTCGCACTATCCTAGGATCCCTGGGAAGTAACCTGCAACAGCCCGGCCAACCCGAGTCGCGGTTCATTTTTTCCGTTCTTTTGCGTTCATCCGTCTGTTTTGGCGTGACGCTGTCTGAGTGGCCAAGCTAAACATTAAATACAACGTTGGATGTCATAATCAAAAAATATAAATATCGATATATATATATATATTATCTGACCCCTAGTTACAAAATGAGTCACCGATTTTGCTCGACTCGCATCCGCTCGCATCCGTTGGCTCGATTTGCCCTTTACAGAATGGTGGGGACTGGGGGTGGCTATACTCGCACTATCCTAGGATCCCTGGGAAGTAACCTGCAACAGCCCGGCCAACCCGAGTCGCGGTTCATTTTTTCCGTTCTTTTGCGTTCATCCGTCTGTTTTGGCGTGACGCTGTCTGAGTGGCCAAGCTAAACATTAAATACAACGTTGGATGTCATAATCAAATATATATAAATATTAAATCAAAAAATTCTACATTTGATTCTTCTTCTTCCATGAGCAATGACATAAATCGCAAGTCGCGACTGATGTTAAATTTGTTCACGTTGGCATCAATAAAGTGCACTTATCAGACTGCATTGGAACTTGATGCATTCAATATACACTCTTATTTGAGATATCCTAGGCTATGAAAATTATTCTGTGATTTTTTGATTCCATCCAGTTTGTAGGGGCTATAGTTGAGTATTATCCATTTACGCTTTGAATCCATCCAATTTGTAGTGGTTATTGATTAGCCCTCCAGACTCCGACAGAATGGTCGGGACTGGAGGGTAACAAACTCGCACTTCCAATGCAAAATTCCGGTACCAGGGGGGGGTCCACTTACAAGATGGCAGAACCCAGGGTCAAAATTTTGCACAAAATGGTAGCCAAAAACCATTCTGTAACGGCCCTGAGGCCTCAGATTTAGTAACAAAAATTTCAACGGGTATTCTAATAACATCCATACTGCATCAAAAATCTTTAAAACAATAAAATCCTTGAGTCCCAGCTTCTGAACTTCGGTCATACTTATCCAACACCTATTTTTTTCATATTTGTTTAAAAATATGGTCCCCCAACCCCCCCTCTCCAATACAATCCTAATGTCGCATCTGCAGCGTTTTTTTCTAGCGAGCGAACTGTCTATCTGATTGCCTGTAGATATAGACTGCGAACTGTCTATCTTGCATCCATCAATCACCGTAAAGCTTATAAAGGGCACAGTGCTATAATGAAAAACATAGGGGGTATTTCTTCAAGTGTTTCAGGGATTGCTTAGGTAGTGCTAAAGCCTTCCACGGAAAATTGAGTCAAAAATGAGGTGTCTTAAATGATATTTTTGAACCCCTTTTCACAGAATTTTAGGACACCTATAAACGTGTTGGCCATTTTACAGTTTGAGGTGGTGAGAATTGATTCTTTTAAGCTAATTATGATGAGTGTTGGGTGGGGTGAAAAATGGATTGGGGTTGGCAAATATTATCCTTCAATTTTAGCTTGGGGCCAACTAGAAAATGCCCAAACCCAGTACCCTCATGTAGGGACATGCGGATTTTATTCTGAACCATGTTGGAAAATAATACCCTTCAATGTTTGCTTGGGGCCAACTAGAAAATGCCCAAACCAAGTACCCTCATGTAGGGACATGTGGATCTTATTTCTGAACCATGTTGGCAAATATTACCCTTCAATTTATGCTTGTGGCCAACTAGAAAATGCCCAAACCCAGTGCCCTGAAGTCACAGTTTGAAACATATTCGAAGCAGGTACGTCACTGGATCTCTCCAGTACTAGTGTCACATGCAAGCCTCTTCGTTGGGCTGGTACTTGACTGAATTCATGGTTTTGATTCTTAACCGCAAGCGGTTTACACACACACACACAAAATCCAGCCCTTTGGAACATCATTTCTTCTATATAATTTTAAAAATCATCTGGTCCAAAGTCAAAAATTAGCATGGTCCCGGTAATCCGCGTGCACTTGACGCAAGTATACTACACAACCTTCGTTCTCTTGGTGGCGTAGTCGTGACGTCATTTGTTTGGCTGTCTTCCTGTGTTCCTCTGTCTCCCTCTCTCTCTCTCCTCCTACCTCTCTCTCACATCCATGCGTTGGCTCCAAGCTTGTCAATGTCCCGGCCTCCACCCGCATGGACGGTCGATAGAGCAAAGCTGGGTCTGCTGCTGCCACTGCAGCTCCCAAATGGCCCTGGCTATTGAACAGTTCACCTCGCGCGGTTCTTGCTCATCTGGACATGAATGACTTCTAGATTCTCCGAGTGCATAAGGTGGATGCAGGATGATGTAGGTATGGCGAGGGAATCACCAAACCCAAGCCTGCGAAGTTTCCAACCTTGGCAGAAGGACTTGTTGAAACTCCAACAGTTGTGCAGTTTTCCAAGTGGACCTGGTGAACTGCAGCACCAGAGTTATTGCACTTTATTGCATGTATATATTTGCCCTGAGCTTATCTGAGCTTAGTGCGTAGATTCGATCTACGGCATCAGCCTTGATTCCCGTTTTTTTGAAGGCGCCCTGGATGGACTCTGCAAAGTACCTGGAGTCCAGGCACTGCCGGGGATCTACTATAGAGATCTACAAAAAGAATTATAGAAATAGAGTCTACTAGAACTAACAGGTAACCTGTGAGCCCATTTACGGCCACACTCACAAACTCTTTGGATGCCTGATACATCCCGATACCTATGGAATCCTATGGGTATTAAATAAAACTAAATAATATATAATAATATCACATGTACCTTGATAGCACCACAATGCAACCTATCGAAATGCCAGAAGCTACAATGTCACAAGGCTTCTTATGTTTCTTCCAAGATGCTCTTTCAGGCCCTTCGCGCCCTTCTGGAAATTCGGATATCCTCAGCGTTGGCATTGGCTCGTCTTCAGGCATCTTCACACCACAAACGTGCAAATGCTTATGGAATGCCATGCCGGCACCATTCACATCACCGCCACAGTGGTATGCATTGTTTATTTTGTCATTGTCACACATGTCAGAAGTCAAAAACATCAAAAACACATTTGCTTTTCATATCTTTTTATATTCCTTCCATTTAGTAACCGCTCTTCAATTTTGATAAAAACACTCATAAAAAATCAGAATTTGCATAGAACTCGGCCTTGCATCTCAAGTCTCGTGCCAGTTTGTTGCGAAGTTCTAGAATCTAGTTCGCAGGGGCAAGCATTCCCTTCCACTCTATACGTTTCTTTGCAGCAATTCTGGGAAAAACATGTTGGTGTATGTTGCTATTGTATCATGTAGAATCCTTTGACAAATCTTGGTAACAAAATCGGCCAAAAGTGAAAATATCAATTGAGCGTGATGTTTATGATGAGAATCCTTTTCCCACAAAGGGAGTGACATGGCCGCCGACGAGGTATACTTTTCGAAGCATGGCGCAGTGCCTGCAGCAGCGTTCAAGGATAAGAAGCGTCTGTCCAATACATTCTTCATTAGACTCAGGGTGAAACAAAATTGAAAACTTCCTCTTCTATCCTCTTCATCCTCTTCTGAGTGGGCAGAAGGCACTTGGCCCCGTTCCCCAAATGCAAAGCAACTGGTGTGGTGGTTTTCATGGGTGCGGACAGGCACTCGCAATGTCGTGCTTGCATCTACTCATATGCACTCCTTATCTTGTACCCTGCTGCAGTTCTGGCTGCTGCCGCCGGTGGTGCTACTGGTGCTGGTGGTAGAAACCATTGCTGCCGTTGTCCTGTTGGTCATAGTAGTCGTCGCCGCCGCCAGCTCTGTCGTCGTTGCCGTCGTCCTCATCCTCGTCCTTGTCGTCGTCGTCGTTGTGTGTTGTTGTTTGCTGTTGGTTGCTTGTGTTTGTTGGTTTGTTGGTTGTTGTTTGTAGTTTGTGTTTGTTGGTTGTTGCTGGTTGTTTGTTGTCGGTTGCTTGCGGGTTGTGTGTTGTTTTGTTGTCCATTGTTTTGTCGTCTTGTGGTTTGTGGTTTGTGGTTTGTTGTTTTGTTGTTTTGTTGTTTTGTTGTTTTGATGTTTTGTTGTGTGTTGTTTGTTGTTTGTTGTTTGTCGTTGTGGTTGTGGTTGTGGTTGTGGTTGTGCTTGTGCTTGTGCTTGCGCTTGTTGTTGTTGTTGTTGTTGTTGTCGTTCCCTCGGCCTTGTTGTAACCGCGCGCAGATGTGGTGGAGTGCGCCGTTTCTTACGGGTGTTGTGTGTTGCCCTTTTTTCCCATTTTTTTTTTGGTTTGTCAAACTTTCATGTAAAATGCGCTTCGATGGTATGCCACGGGGTGACACGTTCATGTACAAGTGTGCACGCACAGGATTGGGGGGTTTTCGGGGGGGTTTCGTGGGGGTTTCGGTTGCGGGGGTGGTGCGTGGAAAACCGACACCCCAAACCAACCGAACAGAAAGGGGGAAGGAACAACGACCTGAACCGAAAGACGGAAGACGAAACCACCAACAACCCGAGGGGCACCGAACGCGCACACCCAGCAGTTTTCTCTATTCAACTAAGCTTCACAACTCTTAACTTCTTAGTAAACGCTTCAGGCCTTTTACCACGCACACCAAGAGCAGATGTTCTGCAGTCTTGTTACTCATGCTTGCGGCTTCTGTCTGAAACCCTAGCTTGCCTAGAGCCGCAAAACGACGAAAACTCAAATGGTCGGTTGACCTTTTCAGATGATCTCAAAATGATCATCCCTCTTCCAAAACATTCACAACTCTTCTCAAATCTGCCAAAAACTCAAAAAACTGGTTCTTGAGGCATGCAAAACGAAAAGCGCTGACTCCGAGTTGAAACAGTTCTCCTGATTCCTTTGAATCAGGACTTCTCCTCAAACGAAAAACGAATTGAGAGTTTGGCTCCTAGATTTGGTTCCTAGGTTTGGTTCCTAGATTTGGTGACCAAAATACCGGTCACATGAAAACAAAAGTTCTGCATTCAAACAACCTAAAAACTATCTTCTCAGGTGCTTGACGCACAACGGTTCTTCCAAAAAGCTTGCAACTCCAAGTCTCGGTTGAACTTGGAGTTCAAATTTCAGTCCAAAACGAATTCCTAGGTGTGCTCACTGCTTCTCATTCGGCCAAAAGCAGAGTCCTCACTCTGCAGCCATCATCCATAGTTTGCCACATCAAGTGGCCTCAAACGTCAAACCACTCCCTCGAGTGATCTCAAACTGTTCCGAAGACATGCCAAAGAGGAGCTATGTGACATAGCTCCCAAAGTTTCTGTAACCCATGTCTCCCACTGAAGGTGCGTGCCATGATGGAGCAATGTGACGTTGCTCCAAGTGGCACAAACCAAAACTTCCACAAACGAATTCAGCACCAAATGTCTCACCATCGGGCTGCAAGCCACTGTCGAAACTGATGCTCGTAGAGCTTCCATGCACCAGGAACTGTGTCCAAAACCACTTTGGTGGTACAAAAGCAGATTGGCAATGCATCACTGGAAGTGATGCAATGTACATCCAAGGCACTTCCATTGTGCCGCAACGGCTTCATGCGCAAACCATGCGCCTCATCGAGATTGTGCGCAAACCATGCGCATCATAGTTCCCAAGCGCTTCCATGCGCCTCATAGTTGCCAAGCGCTTCCATGCGCCCATCCTTTTCATAGCTTTGCATTTGTGCGTGTCATCCTTGCGCAGAGGGATCATCCCCTGGCAGGCCATGCCGCACCACATATTCAGACCCACCTTCGGTCTTGGTCTGCCAGCTATGCCCCTTGCTTGAAGGTGCGAACGTATCCCGCACCCTCAGAGAGGTCAGCTGACTCCAGTTCCCCTTGGAAGTCCATGGCAAGGAGGAACAGAGCCAAATCAGTCGCCTGGTTGCGAACCTGGTGCACCAGCCTGAGCTGGCCGTTGACCAGTTCTGTTTCCTGCGCCTGATTTGTCCCGTAGGTCTTCTCGATCCATAACAGGTACTTCCGTACCTCCTTCTCACTTCGCCCTCTGTTGGCGATGTCCCCAAATGACCAGCCCATCTTCTGGTACTTTGGGAGGCTGATCATAGTGTTGCACCATTGGCCCCACGAGCGGATTCCCGCAGGGAGCGGCAAGTCCTTGCGGATGTGCACTGGTGACCAGCCATCACTGATCAGCTGGATGCTGGCATCCGACTCCTCTCCTTCACTAAAGGAGTCCATTCCGAACTCCACCTCCAGTTGTTTGGCCTGGAGGTGGATCTCCTCCTTCAGTCCTGCACGGGCCTGCGCCCTCAGTTCACGAGCCTCACGGGCCTCCCGAGCTTCACGCTCAGGCGGCCGCGGCACGGCGGCCTGTAGAGCCAGCGGACTTGGAGTTCGCCGACATGGCAACCGGCGCCCGGGACTGGCTACGAAAACCACACAAGTCACACACCCTTAGAGGCCAGAGCGCCTACCGAAAGAAAGAGCTCTCCACTCAGTTAAACTGAGGTTTCCACTGGATGGCCAAACGGGCCCAAAAGAAAACCAAAAAAGACATCCAGGCAACATGAGATCCAGGGTCCTCTACACAGACCTACCTACCTCAAACCTGCCTCGCGGATTAACTACGCGTGTGTGTATGTGGAGTGCACGCACAGTGACAAGAAACTGACATCACAGTGAACACTCCAAAAAAAACGTCTGGTCTCAAATGAATTCCACAAACATGTTTCTGTCCCTGACATCCCAACGTTTCGTTTGGTTTCTGACATCTGGACGTTTCACGTTTGTTTGTGACATGTGAAAATGACATCTTCAAGACTGTCATGAACATGTGAAACAACTGACATCGATAAGTTGGTTGTTTGGTTTCCAAGCAACACAAAAAACAAAACTTACATGCACGTTTCGCGTTTGTTTCGGTTAAATGTCTCTGACATCATCCAAACAAACTTCCAAAAAAAAAACTTTTGGCTCGCTAGGTTCCACTCTTGTCTGATTTTCCATAATGCAACTGCAATCCAAAAATAAATTGCTCAGCCAGGCACCTGTTGTAGAGCACTGTCTTGCGCCATGTGATATAGTTGAAATTGGAATGATCCCTTTTGCATCGACATGTTCCAAATTTGTCTCTCAAATGATCCCCCAGCTTCTGAAAATTGGTGCTAAACTTGAGCCTTTTTCCTATGAAGCTCTCGTCCGAACCCTGCAAACCAGTCTGACACAAATGGACAACGGCGTGGTTCTCATGCCCAAATCGTTGGAGAGTCTGTTGGACATACCAACGTTTCCAAATATTGTTAAACAGTGGGAGCTCAAAGCTTGTACTTTCTCCAAACTTCATAAAGGCAACGGCACCTGAGATGTGTTCATCCCAAGTTGCATCAAGTTCTGAGGCTTGTCCTGGAGTCACAAACCTTCTCAAAGGTGATCCGCTGGAGCACAATGTTGAAAGATGCACGTGCAGACCCACCTTCAAGGTTGCAACCCAGTCACGGGTTCTTTCATACACAGATCTCATTTCCACTCCATAGGTGATCCCACGATAGGGAATTCCCCAAGCTTGACAGACTGCTCGAAGTTGAGAATTTTCATCGCAGCATACCTCTAAAAGAGCGAAGCCACCTCCAACAAACTTGGTCTTTGGACGCATCAGGGAGAGAAGAGCTGTTGTCAGGGGCTTCTGGACGAAACCCATTGCTTGTCTCAGTTCCAGATACCGGCTAGTCTGCAAGCACTTCGTCAACAAGTCAGCCACTAAAAGGTCTCCACGAAGATGATGTAAGGATATGAAGCCATTTCCAGCCAGCTCCCGGAGCCATTCAATCTTTATATCGATGTGTCTGGATCTGCGTGGAAGGTCTAAGGTCTTCAAAAGCTTCAAAGCACTCTCACTGTCCGAATAAATCCGGGCCACAGCGAATTCACCTTCTTTCAGAAAACCAAGTGCTCGCATGATCCTAGTGAGCAATCTGGAAAGAACGACAGCTTCTTGAACCACCATCTGTATCGCTTGTAATTCACTTTCACAACTGCTCAAGCTGATCGAAGTCTGGTGTCTGAAGTAAGTTTTGACAACTCCTTCCAAATAAGTCAGAACACCTCCACTGACTCCTCGGCGATTTCTGGTCGATGGTGCATGTGATGCATCCGTATAGGCCACCACTTCACAGAAGTCCTCGCTTCCAAGACCATGCTCAGACGGCAAACGAAGAGAAACATTATCATCTGTCACCAGGAAGCGAAGTAGCGCACGCAATGCCTTTTCACTGGCTTGCGTCGGTGAGGCTTGGACAGTTCCAAGCAAAGCCACAAAATGTTTGAGGTCTTGCCGCGTCTGACTCATCCAGGCGATCTTGCCTAATGTCGACCTGAATTTTGTATATGCCTCCCCGGAAAGGGGTGGTGACCCAGCTGATTCCTGGTCGAGAATCATTAACACATTGGGACATGGGGTCTTCTTTCCACTAGAAGAGGCCTTGAGGCCCCACATCTCAAAGGTCTTGTCCAGGTACCCATCAGGAAGGTGCACGTAAAGTGCAGATTCACCAGGAAGCCTGACAATCTCACGACCAAGAAAGGTCACTTGCCCACCTTCACGCTCAATCGTCCCTGTGTGCTTAACTTTCAGTTTCTTCTGCAGACAACTCATAATGAGCTTGAAGTCATCCTCATGTTCACAGGCAATTGCAAGGTCGTCCACATAAACAATCACCATGGCCATGCGACCCGATGGAAGGATACCGGCCATAAAACAAGGCTCAGCTCCATCGGTGTGCAAACCAATCCCACTCAATTGTTGCTGTAAAAACAAAAGCCACTCCAAACTTGCTGATCGAAGTCCATTCAACGCATTGGCACAATGCAGGATGACAGGTTCCCCAGCTTCTGTGGAACATGACATAGGCAGTTTAACAGCGACATTGCGGCATCGGAGAGGTGTGTACATGAAAGCATGACTAATGTCCAAAGTGTAAACCATGAAATTCCAAGCTGAACAAATGGTGAGAAACAACTGAAAAGCATCTGCCCCCAAAGTAGGAGATGAGATTCCCAAAGACCTAGCTGAGTCCTTGTTCTTCACATCTTTCACTACCATGCGGGAGCGAACTTCGTCTCCCTTTGCGTTGGTTACCCAACGCGTGCTGATGAGCCTGATTGGGTGGTCCGTTCTTTCTTTCAACTTCTCAAATTCTGAAACTGTGTAGCAATCACCTGCCTGGCATTCCTCTAAGCCTTCAATCTCCTTCTTCATTCCCAAATGACACTTCTTTCCATCCAGAATCTCTCCAGTCGTGTCATCTATCGCATCGGTAGGACACCAAATTTTGATTGGCATCCCACCCATGTTGACCACAAACGACTCAGGTATTGACCCTTGCGAGTCAAAACGAACGCTGGCTACTGGTTCAGTTTCCAACATGTGTGACATGCTTGGTGGCTGTGACACAACGGTGGCAAGGTTCATGAAGGGAGAGACCCAATGTTGTGATTCAGAATGGATGGCATCTATGTCATCTTTCTTCAATTCATCCTCAAGCTCTTTCAAGTTCATCTCAGACGGTCTCTTAAGGCCAGGACCACGAGGAGTTCCTTTGGAAGGCGGTGGGAAAGCTCCTTCAGGATCTGAGCTTTTTCCATACATCCTCCGTTTTACAGGCCTTTCAGAAACATCTCCATAGTCTTCTAAACTCAAACGTTTGTCATGACGAACTTGGTCATCCAAGTCTGGGTCTGGTTCCACATTCTCTTCAGCAATTGATGGCTCATAAGACAATGACTTGACATCATCGTCAGAATGCACTGAAGGTCCAGGCTGAGGTGTGACTCCATCTTTCACGGGTGGTTGAGCTGGCTCACTAAAGAAATCAGGCGGAAAAGGTTCAGCCGGCTCAATGGGTGATGGAACAGAATCACCTCCTACACCTGAAGCCTGGTCTTTCAAAAAGGTTTCATACCTTCTGCAACATGCACGAGAGTGCACAAGTCCTTTTCTGGTCCCATGCTTCTTGAGGCCCCGGCAAGCGATGCAGTCGTCTGTAAACCCACCTTCTCCCCTGACCCATTCCACAGGTGGCCCTGACTTGGGGCATTTCAAAGATGGATTCGCAGCTGGCAACACTTGCGGTGGTGGTTCAGATACGTTCCCATGCTCATGTTCTCTGACAACAAGTTGATGCAAGTCTTGATAGAATTTCGTTGACCAAGTGAGAGGAATGGTATTTTTGATACTCTTTGCATGGAATCGCACAAACCGAATCTCTCCATTGGATGACAATTCTCCAATGACTTCACAACCAACTGAGTTCCAAACAGGAGCAATGTAGATCGCATCAACGAACCTCGAAGCCATCGGATATCTCTCCTTGATACTGTCAGGGATCTCGGCAAGAACCCTGGCCAAAAATGGAGCGAACGTTGGCTCCTTCAGTTTTGAACCTGATGCCAACTCCTTTGGAGTCCTATCACTGCCATGCGCATGCGAAAACAAGTTCTGTGAATGACAAACGTACCGAAGAATGTCTGAAAGTGACTGAGTGTTCAAATTCAAACCTAAATTCTGGTCGGCCAATTCTGACCTGATCACTGAGATTCCCTCTTTGCAAGTGCGGACGGAACGTTCAGCAGCTCCTACAAACTCATGTCCTTGAGGAGGGGCCTTTTCAACAAGCCATTGCATTGACTCTGAAGCTGAGGTTATGAAAGCTGCCACAGCTGGTTCTGCATCTGTTGCCAACTGAATTGCAACTCCACCTGTTGAAGAGATTCCCATTTCGGTGAGCCACTTACAAAAAACACTCCTATCCCTGGCTACATCACCTGTCATCACGACAGCTCCTATGCAACCTGTTGATCGCTCATGAAACACCAAGACCTTGTGGTCCTCCACAAACATGAAGTCGGCGGTCAAAGCGACCTGGATTTTCTCGTCTGGCCCACGTCTCCTGTGTTGATTGACTCCCCGGCTTTCACGCAGTGCTCACACCATGAAGCATACGGCACATGACCCTTCAACCTATGTGCAAGCATTTCAGACTCCGAAAGTTTTCCCAATTGCACAGCTTCCAAAGGCTCTACAACTTTACTGATTGGGCTCATTGGGGGTTCATGATGTTGCGCAGTGACATCACCTGAAACCTTTGGGACCTGTGAAATTGGCTGCAACAGACGGTCTGAAAGCTGAGGTGCCGGCTTGGCCAAAACAGCTGAAAGCTCTGAAATGGTCGGAGTGAAAACAACCCATGGACAACCTCCCCAAGAGGTAATTTCATTGACAGCTAAACCTGACGCCTCATGTTTCATGCAACTGGCATCCTGTGAAAACGCAAAAGTCCAACCACGTGCAACACACTGATTAGTGGATATGATATCATGCTGTGTGCTTCCTACAACGGCTGTCAAACTCATGGACGCTGGTTGTGTGTTTCCATGTGCAGTGGCCAAGACATACCCCTGAAGTTGAGTTTCACCTGCAACAACCACTGATGATCCGTTCGCAGCGTAGAAACTCTGAGAGCTCGGCTTGAGAGGACTCGTCTGCCCAACTGCCCGAAAACGTTCATAAGTCTCATGAGACACCACTGTGGCGGCGGCTCCAGAGTCTAACAACCAATATCCCCCTGTGTTCCGCTGCAAGTTGCACAAAATGGGATTGAGATTCCTGTTGACTTCCAAAGGACGGTCTGAAAAACCATTGAAAGCACTGACACCAATGAAAAACTGGAAAATGCAAAACAACATGAAAAACATGAAAACCGTTCTTCCAAGAAACCAGGTTGACATTACGTTCAAACTACAAATAGTTGGTGTCCAGTCCATGCAAGTCCAAACATCGTCCAGGTCCCTACTGTTGTCATCACACTGCAAACCCGGAAATTCCTCATGAATCCTCTGTTGAAGACTTGCATGGTTCCCTGAAAGATCAAAAACTCTGAGGTCCTGACAGATTCCGTGCCCTTGCAATCCCTTCGAATCACTGGCATCCATGACAGACGCAAAACAGGTGGTGAAATCTGCAACTGACGTTTCACATGACCCTACCATGCCATGTTGTGAAGACTCGATCATGCACCAGTCCCTACGCCAACTCTCTCTGAAACATCCAGCAACTGAACTGTGGTTCCCTTGCAAGTTTCCCTGAGCTCTGAGATCCAGGCGATGACTGAAAAACATCTCATGCACTGTTTCTACGGTCCATGCTTCGTCACATGTTGTCACAAGGTCACAAAACTGTCCAAAAGTTTCATCCACAAAAACCTGTTCACCTTGCACCTTGAAGCAAACCGGAAAAACACTGTTTTGAAATAAACTCACAGCTGACAAACGTTCTGAGCCATGCACAAACGAAAAATTCACTGGTTTCACAGGCATGTTTTGGTTTTGGTTTGAAATAAGGTGGTTTGAAACGCAAAAACTGGCTGAAAACAAACCGGCAATCAGGGTGGCAGTCACTGGCTGACTTCCAGCTGCAGCACTCTTTCCTTGTTCGGCAGGTGAACTCTCTTTTTCTGGTTCGCCACCTACTGCGGCAATCTCGGACCATTCACTGGTGGATGTCCACCAGTAACCATCACCGTCCTGATACCACCAATCCTCCTGATCAGCAGTGCTCTCCTGAGCTACCTCGAACATCTTTCCTTTGCCTCCTTTGCCTTTGCTTTTACCCTTCTCTTTGCCTTTGCCCTTTGAGGGCTTTCCACCTTTTCCTTTCGAACCACCTGCTCCTTTGGAGCCTTGTTGACCTTTTCCAGGGTTTGCAGACTGGCCACCGCCCTTCTGCGTCGAATTGGCTGCACCACCTTTGCGGCAATTCATTGAAACGTGGCCCATCTCGCCACACTTAAAACATCTGGTTCTCGAAAGATCCACTGAACATCCATGAGATTCATGGCGCTTGCTCCCACACTTGGAGCAACGACCAGTCACGGAATCCACCATGTTTTCACCTTGTTCTTGCCCTTCACTGTCACCCGCTGCCATGTCATACACTTCAGCCTGGGCAACACTGTGAATCAATTTACCTGGCTTTCCAAACGAATTCCAGTCAAGATACAACCTTCTCTGGGTCTCGTATCGGCAAGCTGTCTCTCTTGCCATCACATAGTTCTCCTGGGCGCTGTGAAGAAGAACAAACTCAGCACATGCTGATGGCAAAGAACGAAGCAATAGCACCAAACGATCAGCTTCGCTGACTTCAACACCTGAACGATCAACGATGTTCGGCAGTGTAGATACCAGCTTGTTGTACTTTGCCAACGAAGTCTCCAAGCGCCTGATTGTGTCAGCAACGATTGTCCCTTGTGAAGTCTCGCCCTTTGCAGGCATGAATTGTCTCTGTAGCAGTTCAGCCCTCAAGGCCAATGCCTCAGCTCGGCTCTGCAAAGTAAACTCTCTTGTCAAGACTCGTAACAACTCAAACCCGTTGTCATTGAAACCAACGCTGCTCAATCCAGCACCAAACGAAACGCCCTCACAGAAGGCTCTGATGATATTCTCAGCACGACCATGTCCACTGAATGCTGCCCGTAGTATTGAAAGCAAACGTCCAGCCCTGCTCTGTTGGTCTCGCGACAGCGAACTGAGCACTATTTCCTGAGGTGTCACAGTTGCTTCGGAGATCTCTGCAGCAAACTTTGGAGAAACCAATGAAGCCCAACTCCGCAGCTCCACCAGATAATCATGAAATCCAACAATCTCTGACTCACGATCTTTCCAACCTTCATGGCCAGGCTTTGGAAGTCCTGGCAACCACTTCTCTGTCTTGCTCAAGACGTCCAAGCCATTGCTAGAATGTCCCTGCTCCAAACTTCGCCCAAACGGGGCAGTCGGAGAACGTTCTGCCTCCTCACCGTACTGTCGGCCAAACGGCTCCGGATACTGCTGCCCAAACGGGGCATTTAACAAACCAGGGCCCAGCTGCCCACTTTGAAACTGCTGATTTCCCTGTCCATTCTGAAACTGTTGACTCTCTTGTCCATTCAGAAACTGCTGACTCACTGGATTCTGCCCTCCAAACTGAGGTCCCAGCATCGCACCACTCACAGGCGCTGCTGCCACCGGTCCAGCACTTCGAAGCAAACTGAAAAGCTGATTCATCCCTTGCTGCAAGGCAAAAACCATGTTCCTTAACTGACTCACTTCCGTAGCATTTTGCTGCTGCACAGTTGGGCTTCCGCACGCGTGCACTGATGCTGTGTGTGCCGCTTGTGGAGTAACTACGCTCTGCTGCTGCTGCCCTTGACAACCTCCAAACAAGATGTGCCCTGCCTGACCTGGAAACTGCTGCTGCTGATAGCCCTGTTGTGGTCCATTCACCTGGGGTCTTCCTAACGCTCCTACGTACCTCGCCCAAGGTTGTTCACCAGTTTCCTGCTGCCTTGCTGCTGACCTGGTAGTTGGGGTCGTGAGGGGTGTTTCAGGGATCCTTTGATTCCTAGCAAACTCCCACGGGTCTGTTTCTGCTACCCAAGGGTCCGACGCGGTACCTTGTCCATTTGCAGGACCTTGACCTTGACCTGTAGCACCTGCAGCACCCACCCCAGCCTGCATACCTGGCAACACCGGCATACCTTGAACACCTGGCAGACCTGGCAGTCCTGGAAAACCTTCCTCTAACCTCTGCGGGGACGCCATGGAGCGGACCAGGAGCAACTGCTCCGCTACCACGTGGAAAACCGACACCCCAAACCAACCGAACAGAAAGGGGGAAGGAACAACGACCTGAACCGAAAGACGGAAGACGAAACCACCAACAACCCGAGGGGCACCGAACGCGCACACCCAGCAGTTTTCTCTATTCAACTAAGCTTCACAACTCTTAACTTCTTAGTAAACGCTTCAGGCCTTTTACCACGCACACCAAGAGCAGATGTTCTGCAGTCTTGTTACTCATGCTTGCGGCTTCTGTCTGAAACCCTAGCTTGCCTAGAGCCGCAAAACGACGAAAACTCAAATGGTCGGTTGACCTTTTCAGATGATCTCAAAATGATCATCCCTCTTCCAAAACATTCACAACTCTTCCCAAATCTGCCAAAAACTCAAAAAACTGGTTCTTGAGGCATGCAAAACGAAAAGCGCTGACACTCCCTCGAGTGATCTCAAACTGTTCCGAAGACATGCCAAAGAGGAGCTATGTGACATAGCTCCCAAAGTTTCTGTAACCCATGTCTCCCACTGAAGGTGCGTGCCATGATGGAGCAATGTGACGTTGCTCCAAGTGGCACAAACCAAAACTTCCACAAACGAATTCAGCACCAAATGTCTCACCATCGGGCTGCAAGCCACTGTCGAAACTGATGCTCGTAGAGCTTCCATGCACCAGGAACTGTGTCCAAAACCACTTTGGTGGTACAAAAGCAGATTGGCAATGCATCACTGGAAGTGATGCAATGTACATCCAAGGCACTTCCATTGTGCCGCAACGGCTTCATGCGCAAACCATGCGCCTCATCGAGATTGTGCGCAAACCATGCGCATCATAGTTCCCAAGCGCTTCCATGCGCCTCATAGTTGCCAAGCGCTTCCATGCGCCCATCCTTTTCATAGCTTTGCGTTTGTGCGTGTCATCCTTGCGCAGAGGGATCATCCCCTGGCAGGCCATGCCGCACCAGATGGTGGGGTGGTGGGGTGGTGGGGTGGTGCAGTAACGTTCTGTATAGATTTTTATAGCACGTTCTTCCGTGATGCTTTTTGTGTGCCGTCGAGGTTTGTATGTTTTTGGTGCTGGCGCCAGTATGGGGCCCGTGCTGTTGTGAAATTTTGACATTGGGTTGGGGGGTTGTTTCCTTTTCATGATGGGGTTGCTGTGATGCTACGTTTTTCCCGAGAGCATCTGAGCCAAGGGTTCTTCTAAAAGTGGGTGTCTGCTGTACATCTTCACATGTTTACATCTTCATCACATTCTCTCATCTTCTTATCTTCACATCCTCTCATCTTCACACCTTTAAACATCCTCACATCCTCTCAGATTCACATCTTCACATCTTCTTCTCCTCTTCACATCTTCACATCCTCACATCTGCACATCTCCACACATCTTCTCTCTCTCTCTCTCTCTTTCTTTCTTTCGCTCTGTCCCTCTCTCTCTCCCTCTTGCCGTCTGTCACGGTCTCTCTCCTTCTTTTTCTTTTCTGTCTTAAGGCAGCAGGCAGTGCCGACGAGGCGCGGTGTTTCGTGGGGGTTTCGGTTGCGGGGGTGGTGGGGTGGTGGGGGGGTGCAGTAATGTTCTGTATAGATTTTTATAGCACGTTCTTCCGTGATGCTTTTTGTGTGCCGTCGAGGTTTGTATGTTTTTGGTGCTGGCGCCAGTATGGGGCCCGTGCTTACGCCACTGTCGACCGTTGTTGTTGCTGTTGTTGTTGTCGTTGTTGTTGTTGTTGTTGCTGCTGCTGCTGCTACTGCTGGGACGGAAACAGGCTGTTGAGTTGTTGAGATGGAAACGCGCATAATTATTCAACTTTGAGGGACGGAAAGTGGGCGCAAAAATCAAGAAATGCAAGAAAAAAGAAAACAGAGGAGAACTGAACTGCTGAACAGGAAACAGGCAGCAAAACCCGACAAGCGAAATACAACGTGATATGATTCAGCAACAAGACCGACCTAAAGAATTACTATACGTAGTTACCCCTGCGCTCACTGCATCCCTACCATGTAATACAATGACCTACAATGATATACTATATGTATCATTATGTATGTATCATTATGTATCTATATATATAAATATATATATATATAAATATATATATATATGTACCATTATGATCCATTATGTACCTATGATTCTATATGCTTCCAAGCGGCCGGAGATGAGCAAGCCAGGGATTCCGGCCAAGCTTCGGGCCAAATGGCCAGGAGACTCATGGAGACTCAATGTCCCTGAAATCAAAAAGCGACTTATCCAAACTTTGTCTTTCTTTTGCATTTTGCAATATTTTTCATTATATATTTTGCACTGCTGTATCGTCACTGTCATCCTATATATAGTACGTGCCCTGCATATGGAGGTTTATAATCATTTGACTCCATATGCACCAGTAAGCGCAGTAAGGTTACACTGGTAAGCCCCTGTGGAGAAGTCCAAAAAGGATGGAAACACATGGAAACACATCGCGTGAGCGGGCCAACACCTCCACACACCTCCACCTTGCAAATGTTGAACATTCAAAACTGACAAGGGGATTGTGCTTGGCTGCAGCGATGGCAGCACTCCCGACGCATGTCAACTTCTCTTCTGACTTGCTACATCTTGTTGCTGTGTAATTAATACTTCCATTCTGTTCCATCTTGTTCCCTTTCTTAAAAATCAGTCCTCAGCGTGACACTGAACTCATTTCCAATGTGGCCAAATGTGGCCAATAATCACGCAAACTGCACATGAATCCCATCTCTTGATCAGCCTGCTTTTACACATTTTTAATCATTTTTACACCTTACTCAGGCCTTACTCAGGCCTTACTCTTCCACAATCTTCCACATCCACCGTCCACAAATCGGGGTGACTTCCCCATTACATCGCTCAGCTGTTTTGCCTGCGACTGCTGCCGTCCAAACTCCATGGGTGCTAGTGGGCAGATTTATTAACCCCTTGGTTTTGGATGGTTCCGGTGCCTTCACGTCAACAGATTGCAAGACCTTATCACTCAGCAAAGCGAAAGCATCAATGTGCTGGAACTAACTATGAAATATAATTGAAATATGTGATGCAATGTCTCTTTTTGTCGATTTGATTGAATTTGGACATGCAGGCAAACAAGTATTTTGCTACATCAAATGGATTTGTAGGCTGAAGCGGCAAAGTTTCAAACTTTATTTTTTGCCAAACAAGTGACAAAGGTGGGGAACATGTTGGAACATGTGCTGACTTTTGAGAAATTGAGCCTTTCTGGCCTTTCTCCCTTTTCCTACAGAACCAACGCGGTGGAATGATTCCGAAAGCTTTACCGTAGCCCCAACTTTCTCAACGCACAAGATTTGAACCATGGCGTTCCCGGGCATAATTTGCACAGTTCCTCAGATGCGGCTTTGGTTGTCGATTTGTATATGCGGGATTTGGCTGGTTCCGTTCCTGCACAAAGGCACCTGCATGATGTTCCATTGTTCTGCAGCATTCTGCAGCCGAACATCTCAACTCAAAAATACTCAAAAGATCTCAAAAGAAGTTTCCTGCGCAATGGGATGGAAAAGGTTTGATTGGCGTGAATGATTTTCACCGCTGCCCATCACAAATAGCATGCTGCAGGCCAGTTTGCAAGGGGTGTTTATTCAAAATTTCTGCACAGCATCTAGGGTAGAACAATGAGGATATGACAAAGCCGACGAGTGCCAAGTTGGCATATATTCTTGCACCTTTGGAACAGGATGTATCTTACGAATGTCCCAGGAGCATGCCGTTGCCCATGTACAGTAGCTGCAAGTAGCAAGTCCTATAAAACTCTACCATACAGAATCATACAAAGGTAGGTGTCTGGATGGGCGTCACCATGTCACCAACACACCTCACATGTTTTGGGCTTCTGCAGCACGTCTGACGGATTCATCCAACTGAGAGGACAAAAAAAGTTTTGAGATGGCTTTGCCAACTCAGCTTGTAAATTAATGAACTCTGAAAGTCTCTTGGATGCGTGCCAATGAGCCTAACTATGCAAGACATGCTCGGAATTCCGGGTCCTACTTTCCACACTTGCAAGTTGCCTAGGGCAGTGGCCTGTAGCAGTTTCAAACATCCAATCGAAGCGATCTATGGCGTTAGTCTTTCGTCATTGTATCCTGCCACTGTATCTCTGGGCAACCCGAAGCCTCACACGCAATGACAGAAGTCCATTTCAAGGCAGTAGCACTTGTTCTTCAAAATAACCACATATCAATACATATCAGGTAGTCACATGTAGTCACTGTATATTTGTCTGGTCTGATTGTTACAGCCAGTGTTGCAAGAGTCTGCCACATAGTGTCAAGACAAAACACATACCGGTGCTTGAGCCATGTCCGGCCATGTGCCCTGGATGTCCGTGTAGATGAAAGCAACAGCAAAGTGCGCTACACTGCGCTACACTATTTCAATATTTCAATATATTTCAATCAAGTCACGCAAGTGAATCAAATGAGCATGTCAGGAACACCCAGGGCTGGCCACAAATCACAGGGAAACCCTGAAGGCAAAAAGACAAAAATGAAACAAACCTCTTCGCAATCATTGCGCCCAAAAAAATCACGCAAAGGAGTGATGTCACAAATCGAAGAACAACCAGACGAAGCTTTGGAACCATCAATATCCCGCTGCTTGGTCAAGCTGTCCATCAATATCCTCAGTGACGCCAGCCCAGCCCAAACCAATGCAAGTCACTGCAATGTAGCCTATGATGATCATGATGCCTATGCAGTTTCCACTTTTCTGATTTTTCTGTAGTGAAGCTGCAGGCCTTGGAAGCCACATTGTCCTCTCAAGCTTTCAAAAGACTTGAGTAAGTGTTGAACCGAAAAATTGAGCTCAATGCCACTTTCAAACCTGAACCAGTTCTCAGAAAAGGTATGCTCTTTGCGCCATTTGGAATCTTGCGTGGAAGCCTGTGCCAGGCATACCATGCCAAGCTGGGCAGGGTACAACCAGGGGCAGCCAAGCATCCAACACTTCCGCCTGCCTTCCGTCTGAGTTTTTGCCTTCGCTTCTTCTCCCCAGGCGGGCAAATATGGCAAAAAATGCATTGCGAGCCGTTTTGGCCTGCATTGCCGACAGGAATATTGACACTGGTGGCTGAGATGCAAGCAAAGGCACATATCAGGCACGCATGAAAATCTTTCAAATCACTCTTCTCATCTCTTCTTCCCTTGCAGCCCAAGGCGCAGCCCTTGGTATGATAAAATGCACAGGGTCGGCAAGAAGATGTGTCATGACTTTTGTTCTGATCGTCCACAATCTTCTCATTCTCAGCGGGCAAGTACTGCAACAAAGCCAAACGGAGGCATGGCTCTTTTGGCGGTGCCGGAGGAGTATCCTCCAAGTCCACATGAGGCGCAGCAAATTTTGGCGGAGGAAAGCTGGGAGGCTCGGTGCCAAGAGGCCCCGGCATGGGAAGGACCAAAGGATCCAAAAAATCCAAAGGGGATGGGTGTCTGGAGCCGGAGTCCATGACACTCATGTGTTCCAAACCTGGTGGGGGGCGGATATTTGCTGCAACCGAGGGGGTAGTATTGAACGCATTGAAGCTGGACTCTGTGACACCAGTGGCCGGCGAATACGATAGACATGCTGGAGTCTCCCTTGGCAGCGGTCCACTACTCCGCATTGACCCTTCACTTGTGATCTAAGCCAACTGACCAGCTCACCATTGTCACATGCAGCATCATTCAACACGGTCGATGAAAACAAAGGAAGAACAGGGCCCTTTGATATCTGACAACCAGCTGAAACAACAATCTTGAACTCTGTGCGTTTGTGCCACCATTGATACCATTGCCACAGCGACTTGCCCATACACATCCATACACTAGCTTTTGTTACTTTTGTTGGTGCCTCCCACATTCTTGGCCACAAAATGAAAGATATGAAAGGGTGGCACGTGACATGAGGCTGTTTGTCATACTGTAACTGTTAGATGCAAGGTGCTTAGGTTGCCAGGTGGGAGAGGAAGTGCCCGATCTCGTTGAGGAAGGGCTTTCATTTGGAATTGCTTTGCCTTGGCCACGCAAAGCACGGCAGAACTCATTTCACCTCTTTTCACAAATTTTTACAATGTCTCTCACATTTCGCATAACATGCCAAAATTCTTGGGTTTTGAGAAGCCACCCCAAACATCCCCAAACCCTTAACAGCACAAAGCATGTACGGAATATATTCAAATGAAATCAATGAAATCAAACGATGATTTTGCTGTCCGAATTTGTTTAACGACTTCCTTGCTGCAGCTCCTGGGGTTTCCTACAAAATGAATTAAGCACTTCATGGAGGCATCAAAAGAACAACTAACTGCAAACAAGCAACTCCACATTGGGCTGCTGACTGATTAGTCAAACTGACGTTGGCCAGAGAATCAAACAGCTGCGTGCACGGAAATCAAAACAACGATAGGCCCAACAATATAAGCACAGCCAGAAGTAGCAAAATTGATTCTATATCCAAGAAAAATGGGTGCTCGTTGATCTTATTGAAAGGTGCATGGGATTGCATGGGCATACAGCTTTATGGATTCTTGTGAAGATCACCGCTTGGGAGTATACATGCAGCATGTGAACTTGCAAGCGCCAATGCTCAGCACGACAGGCAAACTGAAACATGGCGCGTACTTGTGATGGCAGTTCTTGGTGAATTGCTTTCTACATTTTCTACTGTACCCAAACCAGGGCATGGTTGGCTTCAATTTCGCGGGATCATGTCGACCCCTTTCAAACTGTATCCTCCATGTTGCTTCAGGTTGCATTACTGCTTAACTCAGTTTCTCCCTGCCACACCCCAGTTCCAATAAAAACGTTGTGACAATGTTGAGAGCTCGTGGAGTGGCGTGCTGGTATGAAACTGTTTCAGTTGCTCTCTCTCTCTCTCTTTTTCATTCTTTTTCCCTTTCTCTCTCTCTCTCTCTATCTATGTTTCTCGCCATGTCTGGTTGTCCATCAGTTAGTCGATCAGTCTGCTTTACTATAATTTACTTTGATGCGCCTGCGAATGTGAAGAAACATGAAGAGACATGTGACAACTGTGCATTGCGACATCCAAGGGCGGAGAGTTGTGTGCTACCGAAGCCAGCAAAATGCAAGCCAAGTCCAAATGTCATTGCCTTCCTAGGCGTGTGACAGTCTGAAAGCAGCATAAAGCAGCGCAACCACAACAGAGCTTAGCACCAGCGCAGCATGATCCGATCCCGCAAGGCCGCAAGGTATCTTTAACGCCCAGCCGAATCTGCATAATCTCTCTGGGTCTGGTAGTGTGCCTCCTCTTTGGGCTACTCACTCTGCCAAGCCACTCGCTGTGGTAAACTGGTCATGTGCACTTTGTGATCCTTTCAGTTTCACCATGTTTCTGAGCGAGGCTATGGAAAGCTACAGTGCGTCAGGACATGACTTGCGAGTGGCATGGCGACTAGTTGCGATGCCTGTGCTGCGACTTTCGCTAACTTTTAACACCTTCAAGTTGTCGCTGGGCCATGAATTTTAGACATGTTCTTCGTAATGAACAAGTCGGAAGTCGGAAAACCAAAGCATGCACCAATCGATCTTTGCGGGCTAGCGGGCACGCCTCTTGCTAAACACTCTTGGCACTCTATGGCACTCTTGGTCACCTTGCTGATTTTTGTGATTGAATTTGATTATATAGTTTGATTGAATTTTTAGATTCCTATGAGGCCCTGCGACTGAGGCCAGAAGCCCTGGAAAAACTGAGACTTCATGCATTCTTGTGGATTCCAGGCTTGTCTGGGTTGGCACTTCGCTCTTGCCCGGCTCACAAGAATTGGTATTGTACAAGACACATAGCACAGGGGAGTGCTCCCTCCAATTCTTCGTTTAAGTTCAAAGGAATATGTTCAAGTCGTGAAAACAAAAGCATACAAAGTATACAAAGTTCAAAGGCTCTCAAAAACTCAATGTCTGCAAAATCATTTGTGGCCAACCCAAACTGTGTCGGTCGTAAACACTCAGCAGCGCCAGCGGTGAAGTCTTTGGCCATGTCCGAAGTCATTCATTCAGAACATGATCTGAATTTCGAATGGCGTCCTGCCCCATTGACTAGGTTTGCTTGTGGCATGTCATATGACAGATATTTTCTGGTTTTCAATGCTGGAATACAGTGGAATGGCCAGCTCTTTCCTTGTGAAAGAGTCACCTGCTGTGAGCTTAACCTGTCCAGCTCTCACTGCTCTCAGTTCAGGTCTCGAATCTTTGCTTTGGCCTTGCGAAGCTAGGTGAGGAAAGGTGCATAGGGTTCGGGCTTCAGGTGACTGGTCCAAATGGCGCTCCCACTGGACAAACGTGAAAGAAATAGCTGATACATGCTGACGCTCCCAATGCTCCCCCGCTCTCATGTAGAAATCTTCAATTTTGATTGAGCTGGAACTAGAACGCGCGTGACCAAAAAATCCGGCTAGTGTTCCAAAGGCAAGTATGCAAATCGATGACAGAGATTGGCGAACTGGACCTTAGGTAACCTGCATATGTGTGCATATTGTGATGGACGTGTGGAGCTGACTGAGGCTGCTTGATCGCTCGAAACTGATACACTGGGACGTGAAAGTCAGTGCATATGTGGAACGAAGGTAAAAGCTGCATGGGGCGCCGCGCATTCAGGAAGTCAAACAAGTCAATGCAACCAGGTCTAAAACACCATGGGACACACTATATAGAAGTGTTATTTTTAGATCCCTGGCAGTGCACTTTTCTATTGCCAAATTTTCCAAATCCCCATCAGGACGCGTGCGCACAGTTATGTCCCACAATCTTAAAAATATATATCCACGGATGTTAAACACCATGTGGACGCTTATCCAAACATGCACATTGATACCTACGCCATTTACTAGAACTTGCGCCAGCCGCATGGCTGGCACACCGCTTACGCTAGACAAAATCTCTTGCTTCTCTGCTCAAAAACCGCGCCTTGCCCAGAAGCAGCAACACAAGCAACAACAACAACAACAACAACAACAACAACAGCAGCAGCAGCAGCAGCAGACCAAGCAGCAGACCAAGCAGCAGACCATTGCAAAGCCTTTCCAAAACCTCTCCGGGCTGGGTTTTGACTGGCTGCAATTTTAACCAGGTCCGAACGAGGTGCAAACGAGGTCCAAACGAGGTCCGAAATCAGATTTTGGGAGACTGACCCCCTAAGTCTCCTGACAAACCCTTTGGTAGCCGCACGCTTTCGCATTCTTTTCAGAACAGTTAGACTCAAGAGCTTTCAGCGGTGGAGCAGAAGAGGAAACCAAGCCAAGCAGCAGCTGCAGGCAAGAGCAAGGAGAGCAAAGGGACGCAAGCTTGGCAAACAAGTATACAATTGCCACGGCTTTCATCTTTGGGAGTATAGTGGGTAAACCCAAAAAGATATGACAGGTAAGCGTCGTGTGCCTATGCGAAGTGCCAAAAAAATACATCAGTAAGTTAAAGTGATAGGCGCTGCCCATGCGGGCCTTTCCCCATAGGCACTTGTGATAACATCGACCCAGTATTCGTCGGTGTTTGTATGAATCTTGCACAACAGGGCGCGCCACAAGTGATGTACAAAACTCCCAAAACACAAGGGAATAGCTACAACCATCTGCATGGTATCCATGAAAAACTCACGATAAACCATCAATTGGAGAAAACACAAACATGATAAACACCAACTGGACGCAACATCGCACCGACTTCCAGAAATTTCTCCCCCACCTAGGACGCACATTTCATTGAAACGCTTTGACTTCCACAACTAGGAGTATGTGCCGAAATGTGCCGACATGTGTGCAGCCTTGGCTGCTTGCTGCTTCTCCTTTTGGCGGCGCTTCTTCTCCCCCGGCAGGCACAAATGGCAAAAAGTGCACATGGCACCACATTGGCAGCCCTTGGTATGATGAAAGGCACACGGCTTACATTGGCCACTGCCATGACTGGCTGACCCCACAGAGGGGACGGGATTCAGAGTGCGCGGAGGCCATGTGGCTGGTGGTGTGTATGCCACAGCACCTGGAGTGATAGGAGCCATCTCTGCCATTGGCTCCTCCAAGGCTTGCCAAAGAGCTTTCTGCATTTGGCCCATGTCGCCACAGGGGGCTTCAAGTCCATCATCAAAGTCAAGTGGATCAAGCTGATCAAGTGGATCGAGTGGTTCGAGTGGATGTAGTGTCAAACCGGGCGGTGCAACTGGGGGTGCCTCAGAGTGCTGAGAGCCTGTAGGTGAGAGAAAGTCGTCGAAAGTCGTAGCCTTTGCAGGGAGAGGCACAGGCAACTGAGGCCCTTGGCCAACAGGGTCCAAACGGTCCAGCCCCAAGCCAAACACATCAAACATCTTTGGCCCATAGGCTCCAAAGGCCCCATGGGCCATGTAGCCTTCTGAGCCTTCATAGCTGTAGCCTTTCCATGCCGTTTCTTTGGTGCCGGAGCTGCAAGCAGCGTCAAGCGAGTCGAGCCCGGTCGCATCCGGCGGATTTACCCATACACCTGGCAGGCCTGGCTCGTTGCCTAGGCTTTTCTGCGAGCTGCCAACCGAGGTGCTACGAGACCGCCCTGTACCTTGGCCATCGCCGTCCATGTCCTGACCATCGCCAGGCTCTGAAGCGCTCACCTCTGCCTGAAGCTTCTGTGGCGCAGGCAGGGGGAAGGACGCCATGCCTGACTTAAGATTTCCCTACAGCTCCCAGGTTTTGAGCCACATTGAGCCGCCAAGTTCATTAAGACTGATAAGAGCATCGCATCTGACTTCGGTGACCCGGTGGCGGACTTCTGCAGCGCGCAAATAATTAGCGAAAAAGGCCAAAGAGGAAGACAATACACGCACAATATGTAAGACATTGTAAGACAATGAATTGTGATTGCTCCATGTGAGTTGGCAAGCTGAGAAAACCATGCCGCTCATATGCCGCTCTATTCCTTTTCTTCTCCTTGGCCGGCAAATGCAACTGACCCTGATGGTTTGCGATACGCGCTTCGGCTTTGCTACAAGGACACTGGGCCGCAAGTCTGGCTGTGAAAAGTGCTCAATGCCCAGCACGCATATACGCACTCCGTCAATCCTTGCTTGATTGGAAAAAAGTCGCAGTGAACACCTGCTTGACAGAACGGCGGTAAAAAAATAGCTCGCATGCACATGGAGAGATATGTGCATCCATACGTACATTCTTCACATACATAAATCAAACATATTATATGCATGCACGCTTGCATGTGTACATATGTGGGCATGCATGCATGCATGCACGCAAAATGTATTATATACACATATACACATACACAAATATATATATATATATGTATATGTTATGTTATGTTATGTAATGTCATGTCATGTCATGTAATGTAATGTAATGCATGCATGCACGCACGTACGTATGTACGTACGTATGTATGTACGTATGTATGTAATGTATGTAATGTATGTAATGTATGTAAAGTATGTATGTATGTATGTCTGTCTGTCTGTATGTATGTATGTATGTACGTACGTACGTACGTATGTATGTCTGTCTGTCTGTCTGTCTGTATGTATGTACGTACGTAGGTATGTATGTGTGTATGTATGTGTGTATGTATGTCTGTGTATGTGCGAATCGGGGATTGCCTGTCCGATTATATTCCAGTAATTGATGTTGATGTTTGTTGTTCCAGTAATGACTTCACAAAGACGACAGCTTCCGCATGGCGTTCCTTTTCTCTGTTGCTGCAGTGGGTCTTGAGCCAAAAGGGCGATTGTCATACCCTTTGGCTGTGGGTCTAAGAGTGATGAATTATGTGATATTGTACTTTGGTCCGTAGCTTACACTCTATTCGCACCCCCCACGCATAGCCAACTTTGTTGGCTACGCGCAAAGGAGTGTCCCTCGAATTGATCCACTATATTTGCAGCTATTCATTTGTTGAATTATGGAGAGCTAAAGTCCGTTTCAGAACTTCATATCTACATGGCGGCTTGCTACTATCTCTACCAAAAGATTAGGGTTCTGTTCACGTGCATGTAGACACGACGTAGTCGGTGTCTAGCATTGAGGTTCATCCGATGTGGCGTAGCCAGCATGGAATCTCACTCAAGCATGTGAATTAAAGAAATCAAAACACAAAGTTGACTATGGAACTAGAAGTTTACCTTCCCGTCCCTTCGTCGGTTGAGACGTAGACCGCTGTAGAAACTCAGCGTTTCATGCAATGATGTTCAAAAAAAAATGTGTGGTTCTAAATTAGCCGGCTCAGAGTCCTCTCAGAAATCATTCAAAATGAAGTAGAGGTAAATCTCGAGCAATGATTGCATCCTCGCATCGCCAGGTTCAATCAGGACCTATGCAGAGGTCAGATCGCTTAATCATCTATATCCCCATCCATAGTATCCCTGTTGGTTCCAGTCTCCGCCACGGTGTGAATAAGATTTTCCACCTTTTCCTTGGTCTTTTCCACCCTTCTTTGGCGGGGTCACTGGAGCTTGTTTTGGCGGAGGAGCGGTTTCAACTGTTCTCCATGTCGCTGACGATGATGCTTTCGCTTTCGATACTCTTCCCAGTGCTGGTGCAGCTTTCGGGGCTGCTTTCGATTTGCCAGCGGCTGGATTGGCACGTTCACGATCAGTAGGAGTCGGGGTATCAGCAATCGCAAGTATGTGAGCTTCAGACAAGTGGATGCCCCACCTTGGTCGTTGATCTTCCCGTTGCTTGATGTGATTGTAGTCATCGATCGCATCATATAGCTTTTGGAGTAGAGGTCGCGGCAATTGTCGGCCATTCTGAAGGATCAGGTGTAAAAGTGATATTCTTCGAAGTGGTGGACGAAGAGCACACACAATGTCAACTGGATTCAGTGTGATTGTGTCTTGAAAGTCAACGTTCCTGAAGAAATAAACAGCATTTACCCTATATGCACCTGCAATGATTCTTCTGACCATGACGTCTTGTCGGTCAAGGGCGTCGCGGGCCGCTGTGGTCTTTCTCATCTCATCCATTGTGGTGTCACGTTTCGACAGCTTCTCCATCTCCTCATCAAAGAATATGTTTTGCAAGTCATCATACGTGTAGCCACATTCAAGGGTATATATGAGAAGTCTTTTGAGTACCACTGCCCCATAGTATGCATTGACGAATCCCTCTTCTCCGATGTCGTCCTTTTGATTTGGTCGGCCGATCTCTTTGTAGAGCTCTTTCATCTGTTGTGCAGTTGGTTCAATGAGTTCACCATTTTCATCCTCGCCCAGGTAAGGTGTTCTTGAGTCCAGGTCCATCCTGAATTTCTGGTTCTGTTGAAAATGTTTCCATGCCGTCTCGATGTCTCCACAGAAGTTCCGTTGGAATAGTCTGTAGATCCTGACGATATGTAATCCAATCTGCAACAGGAGGATCTTGATGAATTCTGGCTGAGCATCTCCAATTGTGCAAGGTTCGATCGGCAGGACCTTTGATCCAAACTCAATCCGCTGCATCCACTTGGGGTACTCAATCACTGCATCACGAGCTTCTCCAGCCTCGTACTCTTCAATGTTGATTTCATCGACCGCTATCTCTTCATCATCGTTCTCATCGGTCGGTTTTCCTTCTTGATTGAGAAATTTGTCGACCTCATCTTGTTCTCTGAAGTCTCTTTTCTCATCATTGATGTCGCCCTTCTTCGAGGCTTGATCATCATCTCCTTCTTCTGGTTGAGTTTCTTGTTCTGGACTCTTCATGGTGACATCATCATCATCTGGCATCACCTCGTCGTCATCATCATCACCTGTCAAATCGATCTTCACCTCCTCCCATGCTTTCTTGACATGGTCTTTGAGATCTTCTTCTCGATGATGCGATTCGGCACTTGGTACTGTAGCCACGGTGATCTTGATTCGTTTCCTCCATCCATGACTCACCAAAAATCCTTTGCACATCACACAAATCGATAATGGCGCAGGGGTCTCCATCAGACATGCGGGGCATAGTCGATGGTCCTCTTTGCTAGGGTGATGAGTGACTGCCAATAATGAAATTGCATCATTCCAATCCGGATGTCCAGGGAACAATCTGTGAGTATGACTGAAGTGACCGGTCCTGATATCGACAAGTTTTCGAAGTTCGTCTAGATCGGGTGATGATTCTTCAGGCACAATGTTTCCAATGAGCTTGTCAAATCGTTCAATGGTGGCCACCCTCTTTGCGCCTTGCACAGAAAGAACAAGTTGATCTCTTCCCTTCGTGATCATGAGACGGTAGTAGTCCTTTTCTCTCCAGTCGTAATACCAAACTGCATCGAATGATTCGAATGGAATTGTTTCTTGGACCAAAATGTGTCCGTCTGCTGATAATCGAGGGGAGAACTTGGCGATGGAATCATACGTGATGTAGATGTAGACAAGATCAGTTTGATCAATCTTCCTGAATCTCAGCACCATTTGACTTCTCACATCCCACGGCGCGAATGGCACGAAGAACGTATTGATGCGGTCGCCTCCTCCTCCTGGACGTAGTCCTTCTCTGAAGATTTGAGCGATGTTGTCAAATGTGGTGCAATGAAATCCTCCTCCAAGAGTGTATCCTACTCCAGGGTTCATCTGATATGAAGTCTTCTTGTCTTCAATGTGCACACCGCCTTGAACTCTTGAATGCGCCATAGGGGCACGGATTGCCACCGGCCAAAGCCAAATCTCTCGATCTGCTGTGCCGATCTCCAACCTCAGTGTTTGTCGATCAAGTCTAGAGGTCAATCCATCATTGAAGTTGTTCATGATGTGTTCCAACTCACCTTTCGTGACCTTGAGTCCTAGCACTTGTGCTCGGATTCTCTTCGTTTGCTTGTACTCAGTGAAGATCACTCTCTGGAAGTTGTTCCACCTCTCAACAAGTATCGGGTAGTTGACGTAGGTCGTTCCAGCCAAAGTATGTTGGTCTTTCCAAATGGCATCGTACTTCAAGATCGACTCAACATTGACCCAACCTGCCTCGTCGCATGGTAGTCCACGGTGATTTCGACTGTCTCTGACGCAACCCACGGAGTGGCGTAGCGCTGCATTGAATCTTTTTGATAATTCGACCATCCATGGCGGATTTTCCCACTTGTTGCCCATCCACTCATTCTCGCCATATCGATGCACTTTACACCAGCCCATTCCAAGATATTCTTCTCCATTAATGCGAGCAAGTTGAAGTGTACCAATGTTGTGGCCATGTGTAAATGGTTGGATGTACTTGAAGTTCCAGTTGTCTCCACGTTGTTTTCTTTCTTCAATAAGCCATTTTACATAAGCATCATGATCAAGGGGGTTCCAAGCGTTCAGCTCTTCAATGGTCGGCAAAACAGGCGGGGATTCCTCAGCCGCACGCTCAATCAGCAAGTCAAGCTCATGACGATTCTTCACACCTCGGCTAATTGGGTTGACTTCGACACCATTCACTAAGTATTGTCCTCCTTCTTCACGATCACCAATGTCGTACATAAAGGCTGACTGACTGTAGAAGCACTTGGTCACTTCCTCTTTCTCAGTGAATCTGGTTCTTCCCCAACGCTTTCCTCGTGGCATGACGTTCTTTGGGAGCTTGTCTTTTCTGCCTCTGGTTGCAGCTTTGGATCTTTCGGATGATGATGGGGATTTGGACTTCTGATCCATGATCAACCTCATGCGCCATATGGTGTCCTTCATGTTCTCATCATCTGGTGTAGTACATTCGTCAATGCCA